ACTATGTAAATATACAAAGTATATATTTTAATTACAACTTTTTAACATAACATAATATTTGTAATCAACCACCCAGAGAGAATTTATTTGCTATAGTTTTATATTGCTATAATGACAGTGAAGGTCAATGATACTGGACCTATTTGGCTTGAAATCCACTTGGAATATATCCTTGATATCCATTCAAAATACTGTAAATGTAAATTTCTAAAGTATAGAAAGATGTTAGACACCCCCCTTAAATGAACTGGGCCTAATACATTCCAGTAAATATAAACTGTAGGAAGTGGTCTATACTATGCACTGCACAATGACAAAATAAATAATATAAACTCAAATTGACAATATTTTTTTTTATTTTACTTGATTTTCGGGAGTGTAACCAAAATATCAAATATTTGGGAAGTATATGCCTATAATATCCTGTAAACTGCCACCTGCCACCTCCTTAATAGCAGCACTGTTAGCGTTATGAGATCACTGAAGTTTTCATTTCAATTACTTAACTTTTAAAACACTTTGGAGGGAGAAACTCTTTAGAGATCATTTTCATTCTTTTTAAAGGTCTTACTAATTTCTTCTTTTTTAATTTAAAACAGTGATGTTGTCTCTTGTCCTATAGTCACGATGACTAATTTTACCAAGGTCTAGAGGTACTAGGTATTCGAAATTTTGTTTGGTATATTTATTTTAAGTAAAAATTTGGAATACAGAACAAAGTATCCTAACAACCCACGTATTTTTAAGTAAGTAACATTATGCAAAGTTTCACAAGCTATTTTTAAAAGTATTTGTAATTTTATTTTTAGTAACATCTTACTCAGTTTTAGGCAAGGTCATATTCCTTTTAATTTAAAATACGCTTTTCTGAGTACATATTGAGGAGAGACAAATTAAATGATTCTGTTCAATCAAGCACACTGATCCAATCAAAGTATGATGATTGAGATGTATGTATCTCTTATACTTGTGTCTTTTATTATATGTATTACTCATAATGATCTACTCCAGTCCTCTTTTATAGATATGAGAAATTTTTACTGCCTAAAACATTATAATAATATTCTGCCTTAATTTATTGGCATGGTATGTACATTTGAACTTTTCAGAATTAAAACGTGTAAAGTGTAGAGCCAAGGTTATTTGACTTGAAAATTCTATGCTCTGTTTGGGAGCTGTGGTGGCATAGTGGTTAAGAGCTCGGCTGTTAATCAAAAGGTCAGAAGTTTGAATCTACCAGCTGCTCCTTGGAAACCTTATGGGGCAGTTTGTTTGGTGTGGCAGCTTACAGGAATTTTACTATTTTATTTTATTTTTTAATATTTTATTGTACTTCAGGTGAAGGCTTACAGAACAGATAGTTTCTCATGTAACAGTAACACACATGCTGTTTTATGACATTGGTTAACAACCCCACAACATTTTAACCCTCTAAATTCTCAACTTTTTTTTTTTTTTGTGAAAATACACATAGCCAAAGATACGCCATTTCAAAAATTTTTTTTACATACACTTTTAAGTGACATTGACTGCGCTCTTCTAATTGTGCTGTTATTCTCACTTAAGATGAAGGCTTACAGGACAAAATAGTCTCCCATTTAACAGTTACTACAAATGTTGCCCTATGACAATGGTTAACAATCTCACAACACATCAACAATATCCTTACTCTATTTTGTGTTCCCGATCATCAGCTTCCTACTCCCCTTCCGCCTTCTGGGCCTTGTCACTGGACTCCCGTACCTTGTTACTCTCATGGTTTTACTGGGCTGTCCACTCGCAGGCTGATCATTACTATTTTTTTTCTTCTTAAAATAAACAGATAAAATGCATATTATAACTGTATTTAGGTAGTGATATTTAAATATAGGAGCCCTGTGGCGCAGTGGTTAAGAGTTCAGCTGTTAACCAAAAGATTGGCAGTTCGAATCCACCAGCCTCTCCTTGGAAACCCTACGGGGCAGTTCTACTCTGTCCTATAGGGTCTCTATGAGTTGAAATTGACTTGACGGCAATGGATTTGGTGTTTTTTGGTTAAGTAAATATAAAATTAGTTTAAAAAGTGAAGTTTTCAATTTACTGAATTTTTTTTTTTTTTTCCCTTCAAGGCACTATCTTAGAAAATTAGTTTTTGGCGCTAAATTTTCTAGTGAAATTCTTGTGGCTTTTTAGGGCAGATTTTGGTGTTTTGAGGAAAAAAACAAAACAGATCAACACACATAAAACCTAGCACACAGATTATACTATATAACTATTAACAATTCTCTGTTTTAAAGCTATTTATACATTAAAATTTATTAAAATGACACCAGACTAGAAGTCAGCATACCTTGGGCAAATCATTCCACTCACTTGCCTTCAGTAGAAGAGACATTTTCTCCAAGGGAATATTTCTCAACAGGAAACATTTCACTCAGGTCATACAGAAGTAGGTGTGACTTACAGTTTTTAGAACAATTTTTAATAATTTGCTTATCTTCATTTCCTACATGCACCAATAGCTATAATACAATGAACATCCTACCAAAAGGGGTGGTGGGAGGCTGAAATGTTTGTTATTGTGTCTGTGTTAGTTCGAAATGAGTATTCATTTAAATGTGGCTTTATCACATCCTCTCATACTGCCAAGTGGAGTTCGTGATCTTAACCATATACCCTACCATGTCCCGCATTTTAGGGCACAGAGAGTTGATGATCTCAGTAGGACTGTTTTTTGGTTATTTTGACTCAATATCATCATTACAATTTTTAATAATTTTTTTTTAATGCCGTACCAACACTGTCATACCCAGCAATGCAATCGCAATTTTATGGCCTTCAACTTCACTCTATATAACACAGATAGTATCAAAATCTGCATGTTTTCACACACGAAACGTGTTTTTTATTTTGCTCCTATTAGGGTTTTTGAAGGAACTATCTGGGGAATTCAAGATTTCTGAAAATGTGTTAGAGTCACTGTTCTCATGTCCTAGTTCTTTCAGAATCTGACCTCTTCCTTCTTCCTGATAGTTATCAATAAAAGTCACTACCTGACTCCCAAAGCCAAGAGAAAAGGAATGACTGGATCTGGTGTCCCCTTTTCTTTTTATGCTGCTCGTCTTTAAGAGGATCATGAAATAGAGAAGAACCCCAAATAAAACAAGACAAACTTATCTTACTAATGTTCACATATATATAGTAAAAGGTGGTTTTGCTTCTCTAGAGAACCCACCCTAAGACAACCTGGAATAAAAACATCAAGCCTTGTTAGACTTTTATAGAAAATCATTTTATTCTCTTTAATTTTTAAGGGCAATTGCTTATACAGTTTCTTTCGGGATGTATTATCTGGGATTACTTTTTCTATTTTCATTCATATACAAAAAGGAGAAATGAGCTCTGAGAAGAACAGTTCGATATTCCAGATTGTACTGAGTTAGAGATTACTTTTAATTCAGTGATTTGTCTGAGAACATTTTCATTAGCATCTGCCTCGAGGTCTGTAAAAAGATTTGAGTGTATATTGTCAAAAGCAAATTATGTTTCCAACTGTTACAGCTAGTATTAAAAAGGGCATATTTACTCATTAAAATTGTCTTTTGAAAAAGTGTTTACTAAAATCAGATACTAAGACAACACATTGCCAGAACTTAATCTGTCTTCACTAGTTCATTCCAGCAACAAGGCCTTGGCAGTCACAATCTTTGTACATGAAGGTCAACTTGATCGAGGAAAGAATAACTTACATCAGTATTACTTATTGACATGTTCCGAATCTGTGACTATTTTTCTACTCATTAGCACGTTCTTATGAGTAATCTTTAAAACTGAAGAATCAGAAACTGGGGCCAAACTTATTCTCGCGAAAATGAAAATAGTTTAACAAGTAATGCCTTGAGCCGAGTTTACTGTTACAGTAAGGAAGACTTACCCAGAACTCAAAACTCTCTTTTTTTATTTATAAATATTTGCATCACTTAGTTTTCGATAAGTTAAAAACAATACACATCATTTCTTCTGGTGATAACAGCAACACTGACAAACAGTTCCTCTTATGCCTGCCATTATGTTATTGCTAATCATCCACGACATCATGACCTGATTTTAGTTACCAGGGACAAAGCCAAAACACGGACTTTAAGTTTCATTCTGATTACATACAAATAGCCAGCACTTAAAAAACCTTTGAAAAGTGGTCTATATTCCAGTATTAAAATAAAGAAAGAAAAATGTAGAAAGAAAGGAAGGACGGGCAGACGGAAGGAAGGAAAGAACGAAGAAACAAAGGAAGGACGGAGGGATGGAGAGAAGAAAAAAAGAACAGGGGAAGAATAGAAGGAGACAGGGAGGGAGGAAAGAAGGCATTTTAAAAAGCCTGATACAATTACTCAGTAGGCCTCTGACATTCTCATGCTGGTATAATATCTAAATGGCAAGTAACACTGACGCAGTTATCCCTGTGAGATCCCTGTTGCATGCTTTAATTAAAACTAAAAACTTTACAACAGAATCAACCCTTGGGTGACTTGCTCTTTGGTTTAAATCTTCGTTATCTTCTGTAATTTTGGTAAATTCACTTTGTTTTTAAATTAATCTGGCCCCTCCTTCTTTACTCTATTACAACATCAAACAAGTACCAGACAAAAATTTCAGAATGAAAAGAGTTTTGTTTGTGTGTAGGTGTGTTTTTAAGTCCAACCCCTGTATACAAATTGTTAAAAAACAGATGTTTTAATATAGTGCTTTATTCCAACTTAATCTCATCCTTGAATGAACTTCCTTCAAGTTTCAACCATTAACAAAAAGAAAGAAAGAAAGAAAGAAAACAACAACAGCAACAAAAAAACAGTCAATTTCCTGGTGGTTATAATTTAATTAAGTAACCTTTCACACTGAGCAAAACTCAAAAGCAAAAGGATCATTACTCTTTCTAGTGATTAGAGACACCTCTAGAGCTTCCAACATTTACCTCTCTTTCCCCTCAGTAGAAATGCTTTTAGGAGGATCATGGTTCATACCTCACATTCCCTGGAGCCAGAGATGGTATATGTGCAGGGCCCAGATCCATTAACCGATATATCCATGGTCTCAGAGTTTGTAGGCTTGTAGTCCACATAATACTCCTGTAAAGGGGAATTCATTTGTCTTTCAGACTCTCTGGCCTTTTTCCGTCGCCTCTTCATTAGAGAGTGTTGCTGAAGTTGTTTCATGCTGGCTGGGTAGCGTTTCCAAGACACATAGATTACCAAGAGGATCATGGCCACGGAGAGAAAGAGAGCCACACTCCCTGCAATGATTTTGTGGAATGAAACGTGCTCGTACTCTTGCTCTGTGCCAGGAATCAGAAACCCCGGGGAAGGGCTTGGTGTGTCAAGGGTGGGATGAGTGATGTCAGGTTTGTAGACGGTAGGTTTAGGGACAGTCAGAGGCTTCTGGGGAGTTTGGGGCACCAGGTGTGATCTCTCTGTGTTAACCACCTGGACTTCAGAACAGATATTATAGGTTTCCACGGCATCACTGACCTTTTCACCCTGGATATGCTTAGGTCCTGCACATATCATGGTGCTCTCCTTAGTTCCTTTGAAATTCTTAAGCCAATAATATAGAGGACAAATGCTACGAGTGCATTCCCACATATTTCCAGACAAGGTGATGGATATTAATGATATCCACGCATTGACGGTTTCCTGTGAGATGTTGGTAAGCTTGTTGGAATCCAAATTCAATTTTTGCAAATTGGGCAGGCATTTAAATGTGCCCGGCTCAATTCCTTGGATGTCATTCCCTGATAAATCCAAATTATGCAAGGAACTCCAAGTCCATGTCAAACCTTGGTTAATGGAGCGTATTCTGTTCCATTGTAAGTAAATTGAGCGGAGGTTGAAGAGACGTGGAAAATGAGCAAAGTTGATCTTGGAAAACTGGTTGTGCTCCAGATGGAGCTCCTTTAACTTTAAGAGGCCAGCAAAAGCATTTCTGGACAAGCTTCGAAGACGATTGTAACCCAAATCCAGAAAGTCTAGATTTCGACAGTCTTGAAAAACTCTTATCGGCACAGTCTTTAGTGAGTTCGATCTCAAGTGCAGAATGATGAGCTTCCGAAGGCCTTTAAATTGTTCGGATTGCAGTGACTGAAGTTTATTGTATGAGAGGTCCAGATTGCGGAGATTGGGAACTGGGTGAAATGTTTTATTGTGCAGATAGGTAATTTTGTTGGAGCTTAGAATTAATTCTTTCAGTCTACGGATCCCTTGAAATGCATCTTCATCCACTGAGCTAATGTAATTATGGTCAAGATAAAGCCATATAAGCTGGTTAAGGCCGGCAAACTGATTGGATTTGAGTTTCTGAATGCTGTTGAACCTTAATGATAAGCCTTGTGACCCTCCAGAAATGTTCTCTGGGATATCTGCGAAAGCATGAGACTCACAGTACACAATTTTGCCATCACATCTGCAGTTCTTTGGGCAAGCTCTCTGAGCCCCCGTGAGCATAACAAGCAGCAGTGTAGGAAGCAGCACGAGCACCACACTCATGCCTCTTAGCTGTGTAATTAAATGGAAACCTACAATATTAAAAAGAAGACAAATGCAAATTGTAAAGCTATTAAAATAAATCACCATCAGCTTGCCGATATCAGAGGTATTTCATCTAGCGTAGTAACGGGATAGTTGTTTTAAGGCAAAATGTAAACAACACTTAAAGCTTTATTTTCTGTAGTGTTGCATGTTTACGATTTAGGTTTAATTCTTTCTTCCTGCATTTTCAAATCACCACAGTACCCCATAGAACTAAGAGAAGCGTTTCGGAGTTTTAGGGGTTCGTATGTGTATCAGCCTGGAGAAGCACAGCACCTATTTTATCACTTAAAGCTGACATTTTAATAACGATAATATTTATCTAGTCACTGTGTTGAACACCCATACCAAAGGGAAGTATACTATGTCTTCTGGTAAGGGCAAAAATATGACTTAGGAAAGCCGTTCCTTGTACATCTTTCTAATTGAGCAAACAAGCTGTGACTTAGCAAAGGAGCTTCAGTAAGCTGTCAACAACACCCAGGTTTGCCCTGCCTGAAATTGTACACTTATTGCATACTAGAATAACAATATATGAGCTCTAAAACATGGTACTGGGTCTGGTATGGGCAGCCAGTGAAGCATAGAATGAAGACTAATAACAGCGCAAGCTATCTCCAATTTGTTAATAAGCACATATGCTCTCAATATTCAGGAGGAGCAGCATACTGAGGCTCCTCTGCCCAATGATACACAAGCTAAGAGCCCTGACTACTGACAAGACAAAGCACTCCAAAGTTAAGGTTGTCCAATTCTTAGTAAACATTTGCATAAGACGCAAAATCACCTTTGCTTAGTATTAGTTTTCCTGTTATTTTAATGCAGTTACTTTTGCAAGTTTAGGGGATAAACAAGGAAAGGAAGAGCAGACTCCTCCCCCTCCCCATCCCGACCTGCTTAAATTTCTCACTTTCTTTTTCTTCCCCTGTCTCCATTAACTTCAGAAAACCTGCAAAGTTGCAATCTATTGGGATCTATGCTGCATTTCCAAGTCACTATATGTTAAGGGACTTCTTACCTTTGTCAACAGTAGATTTATTATTTCTCAGCGGAGGGGGAAAAAAACTATTCTGTGCTGCAGTTTCTCTTTTTCTGAAATATTCTTATTTTTAACCAAGCGGCATTGAGCCAAACCCCTAATGTAAAAAATCCTCTTTCTTCCATTCAAACAATTAAGTTGTATTTCTTTCTTCTTATTTTTTTTTTTTTTAAATTTAAACCCCGCTCTTGCTCTGTCCTCTTGCCAGCTACAGACTCATTGAAATACATTCCAGCTCTCCCAGACAGCAGAAGGGGGGTGGGGAGGCAGGGAAGCCAGTCACACTTGAAAAAAACTAAGACTGGCAAATGACTGCTGGAAATTTGGAAGCCGTGTTCAGGATACAGCTTCAAAGATAAAACAAGCCCTTGCGCAACCGCTGATAAAGTAAGGACCTCACCCCTATACCCACGCAAGAAAGTGTTAACAATCTTCCTGACAGCAAACAGAAATACAAGCATGGTTAATAGTTCCAAGAAAAGGAAGCAAACACAGTATTTATCTCATGCTCAGTTCCCAAGCTGTGGATACGCAGAAGGTAGAGACGGTCTTAAAGATCTTTCTCTAGAGTCTGTTTAACTCCATGTTATGCATTTACAGATTGAAAAAAAAAAAAAAAAAACCTGCAAAAAGGAAAATGATCTAAAAATATAATAGCAACTATAGTGTGTCAACTGGCAAACTCAGAGTCTGCTGCTTTTTGCATGTTTTCCCGTCTTTTACCAGCTAAAGCCACGACTGAGGCTAGCAAACCAAGAGGACTAGATTCAGTAAGAAGCAAACAGCAAAAGTTCACTTACCCATCCTTTGTCATCCAAAAACGTTTCCCCCTCTCTCAGCTTTCTTCTTATTTGGTCTTTCTTGCTGAAATCATCACCACCTTCATGTCATCGTGCGGTTGTCATTCACACCATCCTGATCCCGCATGTAAGCTAGTAGCTCCATGCAAACTTCCCCGGAGAGCACAGCCAAAAAAATATTTGTATATATATTTAATAAAAAATTGGCACCGAGTGGGATGGAGGGGGCAGGGAGAAAGCAGCCGTGGGGGGGTGAGGGGGGTGGCTCTAAGCTTTGAGGACCATTGTGTAATTCACCAGAAACCCATCAGCAGTAATTGGCAATCTGTGGAAAACAGCTACAGTCCATCTTGTAGGTAACCAACTTCTCTGTAAAAAGAGAGAGAGAAAAATCTTCAGAATACCTGGCATTCCTTATTGTGCTGGCTTTTGCCATTCCCAGATAAAGCAATTCATTGTCTGGATTTCCAGTTCTTGAATCAAGTAGGCCTCCTGTGCTGTAGGAGACCCCAGTTTAAAAGCTATGCAGGCTAGGTTTATCCATTTAGCTGGTCAGGTTTAAAGCGTTTGGTAGCTGTGCTGAGAGGCAGCCCTTGTCTAATTCAGAAGGCTTTCCAGAGACTGATGATGCTCAGAGCTTGTTGGTGCTAATGCTTGAGTTTGTGATACACTGAGTGCCCTCCGCTGGAGAAAACAGATTGCACATTAAAGACGGGAACAAGTGAGCCTGTCAGTGGTGCGCAGCCTTCCCTCGCTCCGAAAGGGAAATTAAAGGCACAGGATCACTTTTTCCCCCCTCTTCAATAATATAAATTATTAAAGGTTTATGTCAAGAAGTTCCTTTCAGAGATAGCAAATATTGAGTAAACAACGGCATCTCTAAATATTCTGCATTAGTAGTTTTTTTTAAAGTTGCTAAACTTGTTTTTTTTTTCTTTGCTGCAAAAATCACAGGGGGGTTATTTATTTATTTTAAGGATAGATATAATAGGAGTTCTATTTTTGTTGTTGTTTTCTTTTTTTATTTACTTTTGTTTTTAAGCAAACCACATAAGGAAGCAGTCTTACTCAAGGGAGAAAATGCAATTCAATCACTTTTAAAAATAATTAAATTTAAGTGACTTTTAAACATTTAAAGTCTAATATTTAAATTTCTAACCTATGATAATACAATAGATTCTGCAATTTCATGCATTTTATTGAAAAATCTAGATCATTACTTCCTAAAAGTACATTTTTCGTCTTAAAGCAAAGATCTTCAGTACTATATTACCCAATGTGAAGGTAAATAAAACAGACTTAGATAAAAGCAGATTTTGTCATTGACATGCTTAGTGCTGTGGCTTTCCTTAAACTAACCTCCATTTATAATACATACTATTTCTTACACAAATTACTTACCTTAATGTGTAATTCAAGAAAAACAAAAACTCTTACATTCTTAGAATACCATTATGTTTCTCTAAAATTCGTGGAATCCCCTCAGAATTAGGAGGGATGAAGTGATGAAATACCTGAGATGTGTATTAAAAAAAGCCTGCACACTTAACTTGAACTTGTACTGAACTTTGAAAAAAAGATAATATAACTCCTCGTCTCCATTTAGCTCCTCTTTTTCACTAGTTTTTTTTTTTTTTTTTTCGTAATCCTCTGGAATATAGCAATCTTTGGAATAATCCAAGAGAATGAACCAATGGAATGCAGAAATAGACTGCTAACCTAATTTAGCAGGTGTGAGAAGTTTAAATGGATTTTACATAAGCATCTAGAATTTCTGTGGATCTCTGCAAATTAGTAGTTTTAAAATAATCCTTGGTTTTAGACTATCTGTCAAACTATGAATAATTAAGATGGTTTTACCATATGGAATGGAGCCCTGGTGGTACAGTGGTTAAGGGCTCTGCTGCCAACCAGAAGGTCCGCGGTTTGAATCCACCAGTCACTCCTTGAAAACCCTGTGAGGCAGATCTACTCTATCCTATAGGGTAGCTATGAGTCAGAATCGACTCAATGGCAATGAGTTTGGTTTTTTGTTTTCTATTGTTATTTTTTTATCATATGGAATGGAGCCTGGTGGTAGAGTGGTTAAGAGCTTGGCTGCTAACCAAAAGTTTAGCAGTTTGACTCCACTAGCTGCTCCTTGGAAACCCTATTGGACAGTTCTACTCTGTCCTATAGGGTCTCTATGAATAAGAATCGACTTAACGGCAACCGGTTTAACCATATGGAAGGAGCCCTGGTGGCTCAGTGGCTAAATGTTAGGCTGCTAATCTAAAGGTCAGCAGTTCAAACCCACCAGCTGCTCTGAGGGAGAAAGATGTGGAAGTCTGTTCCCATAAAGATTTACAGCCTTGGAAACACTATGGGGCAGTTCTATTCTGTTCTATAAGTCACTATCAGCTGGAATCAACTTTATGGCAATGGGTTTAGTTTTTGGTTTGGTTCGCCTATGAAGCTCAGTTCTACTCAGTAACACATAGGGTTGCCATGAGTCAAATTGACCGAACAGCAATGGGTTTGGTTTTCAGTTGTTCATTACATGAATAACATATATAATTTGACCCAGATTTTTGAGTAGGTAGTCCCAGGCAAGGAGTTTGTGGGTGGCACAAACAGTTGAACACTGCACTATTAACTGAAAGTTTGGCAACTCAAACCCACACAGAGGTGCCATGGAAGTAAAGCCTGGTGATCTGCTTCCAAAATGTCACAGCCTTGACAATCTTATTGAGTGCAGTTCTACTCTGCAGACATGGCATTGCCGTGAGTCAACATCCACTCGATGACAACTGACAACAATGTCACAGGCAGTTATCTAATTCCTAAGATTTCTCAAAGAACAAGAAGGGATAATAAGTCCCCAAATATATACCTTGTCCATTAAGTGATACCTGATTTTCTATTTTATAAATATGTGCTTTCGGCTTAAGGCTTAATTCCTATTAAAATGCAAATGTGCACTAAAAGAGGCAATATTATTGTGGTTATTAAAAGTGGTATAACTTTCTAAGGAAATAAATGGGCATAAGTGATACACATATAGTTTGTTCATGGTAGTATAGTTTATTGAAACACAAACCCCACTTGAATATCCAATGGTAGATGATTAATTAAGGAAATATTAATATATTTATAGAATAGAACGTATGCTGTCATTAAAATTAAAAAGGTTTGTATTTTCTGGCAGAAAATGATGATCATAATGGATAAATTAAGTAGGGTGGGGTCAAAGAACATAGATATTACAGAAGAATGATGAAAAGGGATCTATTTCTGTGCATACTTTTATTTGCATGGGGCAAAAATGAGATGATAACAGATTTTCCTGGGAGATGGATTTTGGGTGCATTAAATGCCATCTTTTACGATTTTTTTGTCTATATTTTCAAAATTTTTAAATATAATGAATGTTATATATGTAAATATATATACACACATGTTTTATACATACATACATATATATATATATATATTCCTTTCCTTTACTTGAATAAAAGAAATGAGAACATCTTTTGACAGTAGTTTGGTAAACCCAGTGGTGTTACCCACATCTGTAATGTAATGTAATAACTAGTGAAAATGGAAGTTTGCCTTGAAGTGCTAAGATCTAATAGATGCTTCATTCTAAAGGAGGTACCAGATCATATGTAGTATTTAAAAGGATACTGTAAAACATATACGCACACACACAGCCATAGGTGTTTTGAACACACTGTGAGGATATAAAAGGGTCAAGATAGTTGAGAGTGACATAAAACGTTATGTGGATTTCTTCGGGAAAACTGCCTTGATATTACTCTCATCCTTCCACTCTCCAAGAGAAAGGATAGGTAAGCTCCTCAGCTTAATTGTAGTGAAACAAACTACAGGCTACTTGAAGAGCTTAATGAGCGTTTCCAGCAGTGAGCCAAGAACAATGGAAAGGTGTCTGATTTCAGTCTGGGAAATCCAGAGCGTGGGAGTTGGGTTGGTCAGAGCAAAGGAAGTTAGATTTGTGTTAGTTTTATTCAGTGTTTGTATAAAAATAGGTACAACTGTTTTCCATAGAAAAGTGAAGGGCTCGGTGGGAGAGAGAATCAGCTTAGAATCATTGGGTCCCATTGGACTGAATTGTGTCCCCCCAAAATTCATGTGTGTCAAAATGGCTAGTCCATGATTCCCAGTATTGTGTGATTGTCCACCATTTTGTCCTCTGATGTGATTTTCTTATGTGTTGTAAATCCCACCTCTATGATGTTAATGAGGCAGGATTAGAGGCAGTTATGTTAATGGAGGAGGACTCAATCTACAAGACTAGGTTTTGTCTTAAATTGATCTCTTTTGAGATATAAAAAAGAGAAGAGAGCAGAGAGACACGAGGACCTCATACCACCAAGAAAGCAATGCTGGGAGCAGACTGCGTCCTTTGGACCCAAAGTTCCTGCACTGAGAAGCTCCTAGACCAGGGAAAGATTGATGACAAGGACTTTCACCCACAACCAATAGGGAGAGAAAGCCTTCCCCTGGAGCTAGCACTCTGAATTCAGACTTCTAGCCTCTTAGACTGTGAGAGAATTAATTTCTCTTTGATATAGCCATCCACTTGTGGTATTTCTGTTATAGCAGCACTAGATAACTAAGACATATCCCCAACAGAAAGAGTCCATGAGTGCAATGCCAAAACAAATAACTAAACAAACAAAAAACATACATATGAAAAACAAGCAAACCCAGGATGGCCAGGCAACAAATAAATGAAAAAATATGTATCATTTTCGTCATGGAAAATTTGATTATTCCTAGTGGGACTATTAGGGATCCAGCAATGTGTCCATGAGAGAGAACAATCCCTTTAGACAACTACTAGGCAGAGAGATCACAAATCCTTTTTATGATAGTGTCAGTCCATCAGGATGGTTCCTGGAAAAGTCAGAAACAGCAGTTATTAAGTGCAAGAGGAGGTAAACAAGAATGAGAGAAGCTGACTATGCTTCATCATTTTTCCTAGGTAAAAGATGGCCCACTGCAACCTGTACTATCTGGGGACTGGAAGAGAAAAACCACACTTTATGTGAAATATTTAGTATTATTGATTAATATGTGGACTTGATACTTTCATTTAATGAGACTTCATGAATTAAGACGATAGGATTTTTGTTGCCTCAAGAAGCATTGAATGACTTCATATTGGTAGCTTGAAATTGACCCTAGTGGGAGTATATACACAGAAGTTATCATAATCTAAAAATTAGAATATAATTTGTTGTTTTTTGAAAATCTAGACTTAAGAAACTGATGGAAAAAATATTAACATTGCAGATTATACTTAAAAGTATACTGTATCTGTAGCTACTAAGTTGTAAATAGCACAAAAATTGAGAAATAGTCTTCCAAGTATTTCAAAGCTATGATTTTATTGAACAAAGAAGTAACTCACTTTATTGATAAACAAGTGAAGTTACCACATGTGCCTTCCTTGTTTCACTTTTGTCTGACTTGTTATTACAAGCAAATGTATCAGACAATATTCATACTGCAACCACACTTGTTAAACATTTACCAGGACACTGCTGTACCTGGATTTCTACGTATTAATTGCTCCAAAGGTGAATTCATTTGGAAACGTGATTTCTAGAGATGATTTGGTTTAAGGACTCCCTCTCTTTTCTACTCCATATTTAACTGAGTGGTAAGAAGAAGGAACAATTAAAATATTTATTGTATGTGAGCAACATGGGGCACCTCTCCAA